CGTTAAGAACATACAGTAATTAAAGTAAAAAGAACATGGCAACTTAGGCGTAAGGATGATGTTACTTCACCATCAATTGGAGAGAGAGAAAATTAGGGCCTCGAGTTTGAAGGAAACTCAAAATTTTCTACAAAAAAAAAATCAAATTTTGATATAAATTTTTTTTTACAAATCAACAAACTGTACTTTTTATTTTTTGTAGTATTTAGTTACATTAATAACCAATATTGTTTATATTACATTTCTAGTGATTTCTTTTTTTTACTATAAAATTCATTTGATTTTTATGGGTAGCATTTCTTAGCTTTTAGTAGCTTTTTTGCAATCAAAAAATGACAGAAATAAAATTTTTAGTGTTTTCCTTTTTAAATTATACCTTATTTTATAATAAGGTATAATTTAAATTTTATTTCTGTCATTTTTTGATTGCACACATTTAAATTAATTTAAAATTAATTTAAATGTTGCAAATACTTTTTTAACAACAAAACGTTTATTATTAAAATTAATATGTTTATGTTAATTCTCTTTTTTATATGATTGACTTTTAGAATTGTAAAGGGTTGGTAAGCCTCACACACAGTTCAGCTTAGGGCCTCAAAATGCCTAAATCTGGCCCCAGCTAGAACCAAAGTGTTTTAAGAAATATCTCGAACTGAGAAGTTGTAGTTCATTGGTTCATTGGCTACATTGTCCCTTCTTTGATGACATTTTAACACAAAACTATTTGACTAGAGCTGATACATTACAATACTAAAACCATGTACTTCACTTTTACATGTACAAAACAGTTGCAGTCATATGACAAAAATACAATGATAACTAAAATGTGATTGGTTAAAGAATAACAGGCTCCAGCTATTGATATCATGGAACCCAGACATATCTCAACCAACTACCCATAGTGAAACCCACTTAACATGGAGCACAGACTAGTGATTTGTCTAAGATTCATTAACTGCCTTTTGCTAAGGGGACTTATTGAATGTTCTGTGTATCGCTCTCATTGAGTTATCAGAAGAGCTCAGAATAGGTCCCCAGTATGCTGCAAAGCAAGGGTGGGGTTAAGTGGTAAACAAAGTAAGCATTGCCTGGGTGTGCATTGTAGGATGAGGTGCCAACATTGAGACAAATGTTAAAAATTATGAAGTAAAACTTTTCTCCAGCTTTAACCGATCAAGCCGACAATCAGTAACCATAGGGTTTTTATATTATACATTCTGTATGTCGATAGTGTACCACGGGGTAAATTCAGTGTTTATTCATTTGCTGAGTTTCACTTTTTTATTTGTTGTTTGTCCATAAATGGGTAAGTTTAACATATATTTTTTGATTATTTTATTATCAATATTAATTAAATTTAATAATTTTAAAAACTTCTTAGTTTGAGATCTTAAAATGTATGTGAAAAACTCTCTAGTTGTCAAAACCAAAAGTGCAAAGAGGCAAGAGAATGTTTCATTGAAATAATAAAATATTTAGCTAAACAATGTCGTCCCTTCAGAGGAAAATCTGACAATTTATCTGTTAAAAATAATGGAAATTTCTTACAAGTTGTACAGTTATTTACAAAATTTGATGTCACTGTCTTGTCATTTACAAAAAGTATTACAGAAAATTACTGTATTCACTCACATATAAGATGACCTTGCATATAGGACTGGGTGTGACTTTAAAAATCAAAATAAAGAAAATTAAATTTATTAATACAATAATAATTTTATTTTGTTTAATCACAAATAAAATATCAAATGCATGTAAATGCATACATTGTCCCGCAAAAATTACTGGCATTTTAAACTTTAATGATAAATCTTGTAAAATCGACGATATAATTTGTTCACGTAAAATTGAGAATCATTTTTACCAATTCTTAACAATGTTAAAAACAATAATTCTAAACAGTTATAAAATTTCCTAAGAATAAACAAGTTAAATTCCTCTTTTGTATCCGATTTCGAAAGAATTAAAAACAGAGATGGACTATGACTTGAAACGTATTAATTATCTCTTACTTTATTTTTCATTTTTCTCCATATGCATTTTGCCTGTTAGCCTCATCAGGCGAAATGCATATGGATAATAAAGTAAGAAATAATTATTAATTTCAATTTGTGATCCATCTCTGTGTTTAATTTTCTCGAAGTCGGATAAAAAAGAGTGATTTCAACTNATTTATTTTACATTAATATAATAAATATAAATACAACTTTTTTACAAAGAAAAATTCTTTGTTTCAGTCATTTTTTCGTTGTTCGCACCATCAGCAGTTCATTAAAAAACACAAATACTCATGGAGACGACCTTCCTTTTTAGGCTACTGCCTCCATAGTTAAAATGCAAAAAATGATAAAAGCATCCTCTGGTGTTCTTGCCACAATCACATGATACATTTTAAGTAAAAATAATAAGTTTACCATCGTTGGCCATGTAAACTTATTATTTTTACTTAAAATTTATTTTACAATTCTTAACAATCAAATTCACTCTCTGTCAATTACACTTATGAGTTTCTCCAAATTTTGAGTTCCAAATAATCATGTTTTTACATGGGAATGGATGAAAACTTATATTGGCTCCTGTGTGATTTTGGAATTTCAATTTGGAATTCAATTCAAAAGCTATTGCTATTCATCTTTACTTCTGACAATACACAAGAACAAGATTAAAATGACTCAGATAAAATACTTTTGTTTTTATACACCAGAGAGTGAGCATATGGTAAAAAATGCAAATACACAGTTCACAAAAATTATTGCAAAAATGTAAAGAATCCTTCATTCACACATATAGGATGACCTAGGATTTTAAACCAGTGAAAAATGAATAAAACCTTGTCATATGCGAGTAAATATGGTATGTGCATTATATGTGCAGGATATACAGGACAAAATAATTGCTTTATTACCTATCAATATTAAAGAAAAAATTTTATTGTCAATTCAAAAAGCAAAATACTTTTCAATTATATTGGACTGTGCACTGGATATCAATAAAACTGAGCAAATGAGTATTATCAGATTTGTATCAATTAATGATAAAAAAGTTGAAATTCAAGAACATTTTATTTATTTTATTAATATTAAAGATTCAACAGGCAAAGAGCTAACAAATTATTTGATGAATAAAATTAAATACTGTAATTTAATTTAGATATAAATAACATATGCAGCCAAGGCTATAACAACAGAGCGAATATGAAAGGGAAAATGATTTACAGCAACATATTCTAAACATTAATTCCAGAGCTTTTTTATCCCTTGTTCTGCTCATTCCCTAAATCTCATAGTTAATGATGTTGCAAAAAGTAATCAAATTATTTTGTTTATCAGAATTGTCCAAAAACATACATAATTTTTTGCAGCATCAACTAAACAATAGGCTATTTTTAAAAAATGTGTTCTAAATCTAACATTAAAACCACTATCAGATACTCGCTGGGAGTCTCATGTTGAAGGATTAAAGCCATTGCAGTTACAAATTGGTGAAATCTATGATGCTTTATTTGAACTCTAAGATAAAAGAATGGATAATCAGATCAGATATCAGGCTAGAGTTTTGTGTAGCAAAATTACCAATTTTCATTTTGTGTGTTTATTAGTATTGTGGTATGTTATACTCAACAGAATTTTTTAAATTTAGTTTTAGATACAACTATAAATTCTTTGGAAGAAAGATTTGAACAATTAACAGTTCACAACAGTTATTTTAATTTTTTATATAATCTAGAAACTCTACATAATTTAAATAATGAAGAACTTAAAAAATGCTGCAACAACTTAAAGTTTTATTCTTAGTTAAAGTTTTATTAACTTGGTTCTCTAAAGAAATTAGTTCTCTAAATAATTCTATAGAATTATTTAGAGAACTAATTTCTTTTAAAGATGTCCTCCTCTCAGAATTAAATTTAATCAAGACATCTCTCAGTACATTAAGTTATATTTATAAAAATAATTTGGAATCATTGTATGTTAATTTAAGTATTGTTTTATGGATTTTATTAATGCAACCAGTAACAATTGCAATCATGGAGCAATATTTTAAGCAGCTAAAATTAACAAAAACATATCTCAGATCAATCTTATCACAAGAATGTCTCTTTGGACTTGCCTCGATTGCAATCAAGAGTGATATTTGTGATCAAATCAATAACAGTAAAATAATAAATGATTTTGCATGTGCTAAAGCACAAAAAGTCCAGAATCCAGACTCCTTTGCTCAAACTATTCATTTTACGGTAACCTTCTTATAAACTTGTAAATGTGAAGGTTTGTGATGCCATCTGATATACCACCTATTTGATTTGTCTGCATGTATGCATGATATAATGAGGGGCTAATGTATTTTATCATAATTCAATAAAATAATTTTTCTATTTAATTATTTATTAAACTAGTTTTGAAATAAATTAAACTTATTCAAATACAAATCTCTAATTAGATACATATCAGAAATTAAAAATTAAGGAATCATTGAATTATTTACTATTTTCTAACAATTAAACAAATCAAACATTTTTATTATTTTTAAAACTATGTAAATAAATAAAATTAAATCAATTTTTCCTGTTTAGTAGCAATAAGTAAACTTTATTCTTTAAAGAAATTATTATTAAATTAAATTCAGATATCGATCATCAAATTAATTGCAGCTAGCAATTTCAATTTGTCAATATTTCTATAGTACGTAAGGTAAGCAATTGTAAAATCTAATTCAATATAAATTAGTAACAACATAATATTTAGTTTTGATTTATATCCAAGTTAAAGTGTATAATTACTAGATAAATTTTATTTAAATTAGTTAATAATTTTAATGTAAAATGCTCCTTTCTCGTATCTGAAAATATTTCAACAGTAACACGTGACTACTGTTTACTTTACTTCACTGTAACTTCTAGATGATATCATCAAATAAAATCCATCTTTATTTCTCATTTATATTTTCTAATAAGTAAAGTTAAATACGGTAAATTAAAATTAACTATTGTAATAACTTACTTTTCCATTTATTAGCTAAAGCAGATAAACTTTCATCTAAATCAATTTCTTCTAACATATCGGCTGCCATCTTTATAACGATTACACTGCCCTCTGTTTCATCAGAAAAAATGACAGACGTGCGAGCGTTAATGTCAATTTCTTCCACACTGTGGCGTATATGCAGCGTCAGCTTTTTCGCCCGATCCGAAAAGTAAAACTTGCGCGTTTTCATCGTTCATTGTACTGTCAACTTAGAAGAACTCGTTACGGAAAATAAAATGGAATGTAGTGTGTGCGGTTTAGAATATAGTCACAGACAAAGTTTAAACAGGCGTTTTAAGGCAAGCAAGCACGTAAAGGACAATAGTGGTAAAAGTATTTACGTGTAGGTTGTGTTTACCTACGTATTACAAAAAAAAACAGTTTTTTAAAATAATTATCAAGCATCTCAACCTGAACTGTTTGTTTGGACTGACTAGAGAAGGAGAAATGGCTGTTTATTATTCTACAGGAAGTTGCATTACACATAGACTAATTACAAGTAACAACATAGTCAAAAACACTATACTACATTACAAAAAAGAATACAATTCTTTACAAAACATAACTCATATACAAAATTTAATACTATATTATAAATTACACGTTTTGTTCTTTAATGCTGTAGATTGTACTTCTAGTACACTTCTTTGCTTTAATCAAGATGTCCTTAGTAGCCTCAAACTGGTAACATTTTTTGTTGCTGTTAGCTTTCATTACTAAAATAAGAACTAGATTGAGTGATCGGAGTATTGACCATCTTTGCTTTTTAAAATCTTATTATAAAAATTTACAATGATATTTCGTATTATGTTTTAAAAAACGAAAATTTGATCTACGTTCGATGTTTTCTTTAAATTTTAAACTCAATTCAAAGGCATTTTTTGTTATTTCTTGTAAGCAGTTTCCAACAAACTTTAATAAATTGTTTTCTATTTTCTTAAAATTTCTACGTAATTCAAAAGTAACTTTTTATGCATACTTTACACAGCATTATTATTATTATTATTTATTATTATTATTTTGGAGGTTGTAGAACATATAAAGTTACTTAAAAAATGAAAAATAATTATATCGTTCGATAAAATTGAAGAATATTTTGTACATGGTAAAAAATATTCTTCAATTGTATTAATATACTTTTAAAGAAAATTATAATTACATGTAGCTTTGTAAAGAAACGTACATAAAAATATAAAATATTCTTTACTTTTTAAATCTTAAAACAATCCACTTAGTCAAATAGCTCCCTACGAGTGTTTTAATGGATGGAACCAGAGCACGCGGGCTACCAAATCCCGAGGATGCCGATATTTGTCAATGTCAAATCCCTCTTTTGTCGCATCACTAGTATACTTCGAAGGACGCGACAGGGTTGTTGTAAATTTCAAACATTTCTCACCATAGCTGTAAAAATCTACATATGTTAAACTTAATAGTTATTTGTTTTCTAACTAATTATTTTTAGGACCAGGTGTCCACGGAAATTTCCAAAATTTACAACTTTTCGGTCACTCTCATTGAGCTGGAAAAATTACTGTCTTTATTACATCTAATATTACGAAGAAATCAGTCCTCACTGTACTCGGCTAGAGATTGGTTCGGTTAAGTTGTTTAAGTAAAATTCCGGCTCTTTCCGTAGGGTTTTATTTATGACTCTAATTCCCTAATCTCTTAATTACAGTAGACCCCCCTATAACGCGTAGATACGTTCCACGTTATACGAATTTCATGTTGTAGGAATCCTTAAATACATGAGCCAATCGCAGCCCGACACGTGTGCAGTTTACGGACTACTGCTGCTTGAAAGGTTTTCTTCCATAAAATTAATCAATTCTAGACTAATTCGACTCAACATTTCCAAAACACGTATAATTTTTTTTGGGAATACTCCGTATAAACTATGCTATAAACAAAAAATTGTAGGATTACTTACCGAGTGTGCACCGTTCGACGTCGCCATTGCTCAAGCTTGTTTTCGTCGCGGAGCAGCGCACCAAACGGCGGCCGCGATTTCTGATAAGTTATTTTTCTGCGAAAACTTCGTTGAACTTTGGAGACATCATTAATATAAATAATTTTTATGGCCGTTGAATAAG